AGGCTACGAAGGAGGGGTTGGAGGGGGTGCAGGGGTTGGATAGGGAGAAAGTGGGTTGAGGGGAGGTATGGGGAGTAAAGATATTTAAGTGCAGATCTGCAGGGCTGGGAGGTGCGATGTGGAAGACGGGGAGGAGAGGGAATGCGCGATGAGCGTTGAAGAGGCGACGAGGACGACGATGATGATGATAGACGAGCCCACCACCCGCACCAAGGGGAGACCAAGAGATGTACCAAGAATCGGGCAAGTCGCGGATGGACGAGGGTCGAAGCTCTGTTGATCATGAGATGGTCTCCGGGATAGGTAGAGGATGAGGAAGTCATCTCGTGCTATGCTGCAATATAATGCATATGTACATAACCAATCATATCACCCTTCCGCTCATCCTTGCTTCTCGTTTCGCACACCAGTAACCGCACTACCACCGCATCTTCATCCCTGCTCCTTCGCCTCCGGCTCTTCTTCACTCTTCTCATCCTCCGCCTTTCTCTTTTGCGCTGGATTTCCTTCCAACACCGCCATCTTCGCCTCCGGAACCATGGATGGCGCCACTGGCGCATGCTCCGGCGGCTTCTCAGACGGCATAGGCGGATACACGCCGTCGTCTCTAATCTGCCAGCCATCGATCTTGAGAAGTTTCCATCTCTCCTTGATCTTGCATCGGACTAGTTCGCCCGTGGTGCGCGCATCCTCGTAGCTGTCGTGGCCGGCAGCGCCTCCTTGCTGGATTTGCTCGTCAAGGTGGTCGGACGCCAGCTTTCGCAGGCCGAATCGGAAGGGGAGACCACTTGGGTTTGGATATAGGAGGACGGTGTCGATGATGGTGGGGTGGACGAGTCGAATGGTGTTAAGGTCGTTTTCGAGCGCATGACCGAGGACTGGCGTGGTGGGAGAGACGTGTGAGAGAAAGAGTTCTCTCGCTGCGTGGGGTGATTCGACGATACGTAGGTCTTTGCGGACGGGTTTCGGATTTTCTGGGTCATACGGCTTCGCGTTCAAGAACTGGTCTGCGGTGATACCAGAGAAACGGGTGTTGAAGTCCAAGACGTGTCCAAGTGGGCGGACCAGTACGTCGACAAGAGGTTTGTGTTGTGGCCATGTGATGACTGTGAGACGAAGCATCTCAAGGCCATTGGTGGTGTAGCCCATCTCGCAGTCGAAACAGACAGCGGTGTCCTTTGGTACTTTGTCGTTCTCCGGCGTTTCGACAAAGGGCATGATGAGTGACAGCCGATTCGGGTCTTTGACGTTGTACACGTGGGTAGGATGTGTAGTGCAGCCCGGTGACCCTACCTCCCCGTTGCAGCAACTGAACTTCGTAGGTTCTGGGGCGACGCCTCTTGTTTTCCTTGGAAAAACGCGCCTCCCCCAGTGATGCTTGCACTGCCCTCCTGTTGTAAGCGCTCCATCTTCTTCTCGCCGCTCTGAGAAGACCTGGAAACGTGTGTTGCAGCGGTCACATTGCTCCCAGCCGCCAGCTGCTTCGAGCGCCAACTTTGTCTCGTTGAGATCGGCCTCGGAAGGTACCTTGGTCACATAGCCGTGCTGATCCAATCCATCCTGCGGGCACACAAGCCTGGGGAGAAACGTCATCTCTTCTTTCGCTGTAAGCCCCGTGTCTATCCTTTTAGGCGGTGCCTTCTTTGGTGGCTCTCCACTCTCCTTGGCGACCGCATTGCGTCGTTCCTTTACCCATTCCTCTGCCGGCATGCCTTTTAACTTGACCAATCGCTGCTTGAGTATGTTCTCGTATACCGAAGGATTTGATGTAGCTATCCTTTCTTCTTCGTCAACTGCTAGCTTGTTGAGCTGATTTGCGGATAGATGCAGCGCTTTGATCTCAGGCTTGACTGCTTTGAGGAGCTTATCGTTCTGCGGCTTCATGTAGGAATGTAACGCCTTGAGCAAAGCAACGCGTTTGGTGAAGGTGGCTGGTTCTTTGTTGAGTTTGCGTGGCATCAAAGTAACAAGAACGTCGGGCTTGACGGCAGCCTTGGGCGCAGTTGCAGCCGAAGGTGGTGATACCGGCCGCGTGGCAGATTTAGGGAGAGTAGAGGTAGTGGCATTTGCGACAGATGCTTTAGAAGGCGTAGGGTTAGCAGCCGCAGGCACGTTGTTTGTTGTCGGTGTCTTGTTTTTGGGTATGTCTGTGCTGACCGAGACATCGGGCGTGTTCTGGGCTGGCGTAGGCTTGATGATAGTGGGTGCTTCCTTGTCGTGGTCAAGCTTCAGTCTTTTCGCGATTGGTTCCGAATCATATGTTGCTGCAGCTGGCGATGGAGATCGTCGTGTTGTAGTGGGTTTTGTAGAATCGTGACCGAAGATGCAGTGAGGCAGCTCACACTTTGCACCCGAAGGACATGCTATATTGGCAAAGCTCCTGTAAGCTGGTACTGAAGGCCACATGATTGCTTCGCTTGCGACGTGTTCTTTCCTGTAAGTAGGTACAATGCCAAGCTGTATGCGCCTGTGACCTACCAGCGCGCTATCTTATGAGAACACTGAACACTCTAGAGCCTACGTTGACGTTAGCTGACCTAATTTGTAAGTTCTTGTTTTAATGTAGTCTGCAGACCTGTTCAATGTTCTTCTTGTATGAGGTGCCAGGCTAGAGCTGACGAAGAGCTATACAGCCAGTGGATGCGATGTATGAGAAATGGTCTTGGGTCTGACACCAGCCACACGTTTGATTGCACGGTGTTGCCACGGTATGAGGGAGTGACGGTTAAGCAATCAACATCTCATTGCGCAGAAAAAGATAGATGTAGATGCAAAGGCGGCTGGTACGACAGCCTACGCGTTAAGAGTCTTCTTGTAGCTTCACGAAGGGCAGTGTTGTAGAGACGCGCTGCACCCAGATTACCAGCAAGCTCCGGTATGAGCTTCAGCTGTCCCAAAGGAGCTAGAGCGGGCTAGACGGTGAAGGTGAGGGATGAGGTGAGATGCGCATCAGGCTCAGCCCTGTAGAGTGTTTAGCGCTAGACGCAGGGTCCACGGACGCGGGCGGGCGAACTTGCGACGGCGATCCGCCTTAATTCCGTCATGACGCGGTGATGCAACCCGTGCGCATCTCAAGGCCGCCTCCCTTTCACCCTCCACCCAGCGTCAATACCCATGAATGTATGCGCAATCTTGCTTGAGTGAACCTGCGCATCTACGCATCATATCCTGACAAGCTCGCCACTTTCCGCGACATCACAAGTGTCCTCGTCGCATAGGAATTGCTTTTCGGACCGCGCGCGTCTCGGGTCATACTGCGCCTTTCGGACGACTTGTGGACGCCCGAGCGATATACAAATACTGCGCCTTTCACCGTAATACTCCAGGCAGCCAAGATCGATATCTCTCGCCATGTCTTCCTCCATGAACACCTCCAATAAAGCCGACCACCTCTGTGTCCTCGTTCATGGGTACGTCCCTGTCTCCGTCGCACGCCTTATCGCCTCTTATCATGTCAAGAAGGAACACTGTCGCTGACCACACCCAGCCTCTGGGGCAAGCCTGAGCACCTCAAATACGTCAGCACCACTCTAGGCGAACGATATCCAGAGGACAAATTGCACATCCTCGTGGCCAAGCGTAATGCTGGCAGCTTCACGTACGATGGCATCGATACCGGAGGCGAGCGAGTGGCAGAAGAAGTAGAGAGGAAGCTGGAGGAGCTCGCTGAGGCTGGACACGACATAACAAAGATTAGTGTCGTCGGATACTCACTAGGAGGCTTAATAGCACGCTATGCTATCGGCCTGCTGTTCCACAGAGGCATCTTTGAGAAGATACAGCCAGTCGTATGTCTACACGACCATCCACGACTCTCCAGCCCATTTTGCTAACGCTACCAGAACTTCACAACCTTTGCGACACCACACCTCGGCGTACGAACACCCCTCAAAGGCTACCACAGCCACATATGGAACGTCTTAGGTGCCCGAACACTCTCTATGAGCGGGAGACAACTTTTTGGCGTGGACAAGTTTAGGGATACAGACAGATCACTTCTAGCCGTACTTGCGGACCCCGAAAGCATCTTCATCCGAGGCCTTGCCCAATTCAAGCATCGGAGTCTATACGCGAACGTCGTGAACGATCGAACAGTCACATACTACACCGCCGGTATTTCGCAAACCGACCCTTTTGTCGACCCGGACGACATCAAGATAAACTACATCTCAGACTACGAAGATGTCATTGTCGATGGCCAGCACCCAGTCTCGCACAAGGAGCCAGAAGAGCCCCCGGCGTTATCACAGCGGCTGGTACAGGGTACATGGACAATACTTGGAAGGACGGGCATTGTCGCAGCCTTGACCGTCCTCGTACCGATCGGCGTGTCAGCTTTCCTCATCAACTCGGCATTCCAATCGATCCGCAGCCAGCAACGGATAAGACTACACGAGGAGGGTAGGTCAGGCATCGACTACGCGCGCTATCGCATACCGCTCATGATCAATGCCGTACGGCGCGAGGCCGAGGGCATGTACGAAAATGCAAACCACGTCCAGAGCCAAGAATATTTGAGCGAGAGCTACGAACACGTAGGGTCTGCTTCTCCACGCAAGGACGAGCCCAGATCCGACGTCGACTCGATACAAGAGCAAAAAGAGGCCGCGACTCCCACCTTCCCCACTCTAGCTCTGACGCAAGAGCAATTCGGAATGATTGAAGCGCTGGACAACGTTGGCTTCACGAAACACCCGGTCTACATTCACAACCATCGACACTCGCATGCGGCTATCGTTGTACGCATGAACAAGCCTTCTTTCAATGAGGGCAAGGTGGTCATCAAGCACTGGCTTGACAACTTTGAGTTGTGATTAAGGCTCGGTTGGTCATTTTCTCTTTGCATTTACAGCGTGGCGCATGGAGTATCTTTGGGATGGCATTCTCAGGATATAGAAGCAGTTTTCTTTTCGGCGAGTTATACCTTTGCCACTTTGTTCATGTATGTATTTCCAACTACGAATGTTTAATGTGGTACTACACCACAACTGCTGCACCACTCACTCGTATCCGTCCGACTTCTCGTCCGACTCCCCCTCATCCTCATCCAACTCCCCCTCCTCCCCAGCAAACCGAAACGTCAACCCCCTCACAAACCTCGCTCGGAAATCCATCCGACACATAATCTCCACCCTCACAACCTCATACTTCGCTGTCTCATACACCCTCAGCGCATCTTCTTGTTCCTGCGACATAACTTGGTACGCACAGCCCTCGACGCACGTGCCAGGGTTGTCGACCAGCGCTTTGTACTTGCCAGCCCACGTCCTGATTTTTCCGGAATGTATCATAGCGGGGAGTAATGTGTGGTTTTGGTCTGGTGGCGAGTTGAATAGGTGGGCTAGTTGTGAGGGATTGGCTAGGGTGCCGTAGAAGAAGTACCATACGGGATATTGGTTTTGTGCGGGTTGGTAGTCGGAGGGCCTGATGGTTTGAGGGCGATGTTGGGGTAGTGTGGTGTCGTAGCCGAGAGTTGGGTATGCGGAGAATGGAGAGAGGGTTTTGCGTGCGATGTTGATGGGGATGAAGGTTGGTGAGATGGTGGGGTAGGTTGTTGCGAGCCATTCTTTGATTGTTGGGACGTCGATGTCGTGGACTTGACAGAATAGTACGTCGCCGTTTTCGCCTTGGCCTTGGTGGATTTTGGGTTGGGTTGGGAGGATGGCGGCAGATGCGAGGATTGTGGGGGTGATCGGATGGCTGATCTTGAAGAGATAGTCCATCTTGCTCGACTTGCGCTTGGGGGTTCCATTCGCTGGAGTATGGTATTTGGTGGCTCGGATGAGATCTTCTAGCTCGGAGGACAGCTTGGGTGCTGCAGTGTGATCAAATGGTGCGCCATCGCCGGTCAGTTCGTCCAGCGCGTTCATGCCTTCTAGGTCTAGATCGTCGGGGTATTCCATGGTGTTTGTGGGATTGAGCATTGTATGAGAGATGGAGTTCTCCTGCTGCAGGTCGCGCCTTCACATTCTTTATGTATAATTTTCCTCTTTTTGAGTCACAGCCACACGTTCTACCGCACCTTGGTTGCTGTTCGGTGTATCCAGTGGTACTGCAGTGAGCCAATAGACCGCGACGAGTTATTCATAGTACCGACAATTCATACCAACACAAACATTGAGGCTTACTTGTTCAGCATCACCTTAGGCTATCAGCGTGGAATCTACTGAATCCCTCCTACGTGTCGCAAAGCTTGTGGAAACTTTCGCTATCGCGAGCTTTCAGACTCCAGCCCGACGTTCGTCGCTTACAAGATCTTTCCTCTCTGCATTGGTAGCGAGGACGAGTCCAGCGGGTAGCCACGAGGCTGTGCACGCTAGACGCTAGGCTACAGCACTTTCGATGCGGTCCTTCTACGACGCGACAAAAGCACACATCACTAAAAGCGCATTCGAAATATTGCTGATATACTTCAGTTTCTCAACCTAGCCGACTAGAGATGAAATGAGGGTGCGAGAAGAGATCATGAGAAGGTTTGAATTGGCAGGGCAAGATCATCGCGTACGAGCGGCATTGCGCAAACAGTGCATCAGTGCATCATTGCTAAGCCTACGCTCCTAAAGACACCTCATACTGGACGTTTATCCCTATTGGTTGACCAGAAACGACACCACCTCGAGCAAACAGCGATCCAGATCACCACTTGAAGTCCCCGCCCTCGATCGTGGGAAAGTGTCCCGAGGTCTCCTCCCTCGTGGCCTTGTCAATCTACGCAACGTCAGCATCAATTCTTCACATCAGTCGAGCAATCAAGAACTTACTGTCGACACCAAAAAATTGGCACTGTCCTCCACAGTAATAAAGGCCTTCTCCATACCAAACGTCTTCGCTCCCTCGTTACCCATATCAGTCTGCACAAACCCAGGATCAAGCACAAAGGCGGTAAGCTCCGGGTGGTCAAAGTGCGCCTTGCAAACCATCCAGTGCAACATGACTTTGGACATTCCATACGCAGCCATGGGGAACGGACGGCTCTCCATACCGGTGATGCTAGCGATGGGAGTTCCGAGCGCAGCGAACTTGGGGTTGGACGATTTCAGTAGCAGGGGCAGCACAGCTTGGAAGAGGAGAAGGGGTCCGTAGGCGTTGACTTCGACGTGCGACTTGAGCACGTCGAGAGAGACCGAGGCAACGGGGGCGTAGTCTGAGGAGACGCCAGCGTTGGCGATGACGGTGTCGATGGTGGTGATGCCTTGGCTCTTGAGTTGTTCGATGGCCTTCTTCGGGCCTTCGGTGTCGCGGCTGTCGTAGGCGATGACGATGAGCTTGCTGTCTTTGCCGGCAGGGAGGGACTTGAGTGGCTCCGCGGAGCTGGTGGTGCGTGCTACGGCAATGACGGTGTTGTTTGGGCGCGCCAGGTACGTCTCGACCATTGCCTTTCCGAGACCTGGAGAATGGTTAGTTGAACATCGAATAAGATGCGAGGTTAGTCAGAAGTACCTCTAGCAGCACCGGTGATGAGGTAAGTTGTTCCTGCCATAGTGGAGAACTTGTCGCTGGGAGTTGACGAGTTCGAAGTCTCTTTGCTGGTAGATTGATTCGTGTTGGAGCCGACGGACTTAAAGCAGGAGAACAATACAGAGAAGGGTGACATGTACGGCTTGCTTGTGGTTAGCACAGTTGCCTACTTAACCGTAGACGTACGATCATGTTTGGCTGAATTGATAAGCCGAACTCGAAGGAGCGCGCACGTGTGACACAGCTCCCATCTTTGTCAGCTCGGTCAATCGCAAGCGCGAGCAATTGCGGCTGAAATGTCAGCAGATACAAAGACAAAGACAAAGACATATTGCGTTGCAAATGTGGACTTGATGCACGGACGACGCCGCAATTCCATGGGATGCTGACCTTGCATGATTAGTGTAACATAATCGACGGCCCGCTCTCCACGTTTCGGGTGAGCAACTTTCGACGAGTTCCGCTGGCCTGGAACGCTAGAAACGCCACACTGGTTGCCTTTGCTGATTGCCTTATATCGACCTCGCTGGGCGTTCAGCCGCGCATACCTTCGTCTGCAACCCCCAATGCTCACAGGCACTTATTGCCAATGAGTGTGTTTACAAATCGACACGCATATGGAAATACGCGCCTGCGGTCTTAACAAAGTCGCCTGCTATTGCACGGAAGACAATCAAATTCAGAATTGGATGATTCTCCTATGGTGTACGGAGAGTAGTTTCCGAGTTCGCAACTCTACTTAGGTACATCACACAAGATAGCGATGTGTTGAATAGTCGTCAGTATTGCTTTGAAGCTCTCACCGTGTATGTGTACATTGTAATCTTGTGGATAGAATAAGATATAGCATCATGCGAAGTGTGTTGTATACCTAGGTAGGCAGTTGATTGACGGCGTGGCTATCACGTGATCAGTCTAGACCGAAACAAGGTTAGCTCTCGGCGCTAGACAGAGTAGTGCCAAACTCCGAGCCGGGCTGAGATCACCCACAGCACTCGGCCCTGTCTTCAGCGGGTGCCTGAGACCCTGCACGTGTGCGCAGTCATTAACGTGAGTCTTAGCCATTCTTGCTCGCTATATAGCTCAAGCCACCTGCCCGTGCCGTAACAATGCAACCCTCCATGGATGCCGTGGAACGGCGAAAGATACAGAACCGACACGCACAGCGACGCTTTCGCAGTAAGTGATTTAGACTGCTAGAAGGCCCGAACCAAGGCCGGGCCCTAGTCCGAGTCAAAGGCGCGCCTTCTATTATTATTGAGGCTTCTGCGACTACTCGGCCCTTTGATACTGACCGTTCGGGCACTGCAGGCAAGAAGGCGACTAAAAATGGAGGAGAGCCATTCACGACAGCGGCGGCACCGTCCGCTGCAGCTACAGCGAGCGGGCCAATTATACAGCCGCGCCCGCAGTCAAACCACGATGTGCTGGCATGGGGCAGCGAGGGAAGGCTATCTCACCCTCACGCAGCTGGACTACAGACGTCGGAGCAAGACCCGATGCCCCCATCGACGACCCCCAATGACGGCAACACACTACGAGGGGACGTCACAATTACAGGGCTGCTCCGCCAACTTCAAGATTCGCCTATTTCGCCATCGTTGCGACCACGGTAAGATACTCTCAATGCTATGGCGTGGCGATCTGGCTGAGTGACATGCAGCTCGCACATGAACATGACCGACTTCAACTTCCCACCGTCTATGACACAGTCACGTCACGCTGTGCTATGGCCCCACGACCCTCCAGCCGAGGCCATGGTCTTCAGTACTGACGACGCTGGGGGCTTCTACTCCAATCAAGACACAAACAGAACCGCGTGGCCTGACATCGGAGCGAGCCGCGCCCAAACTGGGTCTGAAAGCAGCGGTGATGCGGTAAATTTCGAGACGTGTCATAAAGCTGGCGAATCACTAACATGAGCGCAAGTCACAAATCAACACTCGTATAATCACCCCCAACCTCTTTGTCGATGGCCGCATTGGAGAAGACAACGACCTCGACGACGACGAGCCCTTTCAGACCAACCTCCACATCGCGGCCGAGGCCGGTCATGACAGCCTCGTAGGTCTTCTGCTGGGCTCGGGGTACACCGTCGATGAACCCGACAGTGACGGCAACACAGCTCTGCATAGGGCCAGTCTTGGTAAACATGTGAAGGTGATGTCGAGGCTACTCAAAGCCGGTGCAAATCCCAACGCGATGAATGTTCACGGCTGGACTCCCGTGCATATGGCCTTTTCTCTCGGCTCGATGGAGGTAGTAGAGGTCCTGGTCCGACATGGTGGTGATCTGAACAAGCGTGCGAAAGGTAAGTTGAGCTGTGACAGATTCAAGGAAGCTCTCGTAGCGAAGGATCGAGGGCTTTCGCCCGAAAAATAGCTAGGATTTGTTATCGCTGTTGTGAGCATTGGCAAAGGCTAAAGTACGGTGAAGCAACACAGAGTCTGTTAAAAGGACTCATGGCTTTTCGGGCTAATAATAAACAGTAACCGCTGTCTGCAACTTTCCTCATAAGGCGTCGGGTGCAAATGATTTATCTCGATATGCCAACTACAATACTAATTCGTAAGACCAGTTCCACGTCGCACAGTCGTCCGATATGCCCATCCTCATATTGTCCAGACACGATCCTCCCTCTACCATCAAACATTTCGTCTCACCAAGGGTAGCGGCGGTCAATGGTCTCGTTGAAGAATTGCTCAGAATGCTCCTTCTTGGTGGCATTATCGACCTAGAGCCCCGTTAACGACAGACAACGCTGTAGAGAAGTTATCAAACTCACAATGTGCGCAGTGTTCTTGCTGCTGTCCTCGAGGGTGAGCGGTGCCTTCTCCAGACCGAAAGCGCGTGCGCCCATGTTGCCCATGTCTGTTTGAACGAGGCTATTCACACGACATGTCAACTTCGGCATCACACGACAAGCTTGGGGATATCTTACCCAGGATGGATGCACAGCGTGATCAGCCAGTCGTTTTCCATACCCATCTTGCGGACCATGACGTTGGCGAGCGCCTTGGAGCCGGTGTAGCTGATATTGGGATAAGGAAACTCAGGCATGTTGTTGATACTGCCGCCAGCAGCGCTGATGAAGGCGAAGCGGGCCGAGTCTGACTTCTTGAGCAAGGGCAGGGTCGCCTTGTACAGTATCATGACAGAGATGGCATTGACCTGGAGGGCGTTTTCGAACTCCTCGAGTGGCACATCGGCGACGGTGTTGAGCGGCGCAATACCAGCAGCTGAGATGACGACGTCGATCTTGTCGATGCCCTTCACGGCCTCGTATGGGTCTGTCTTGGACGCCGAGTCAATCTTGACGATGAAGACTTTGGTGTTCTCGCCTTTGGAAACACTGAGCAGGGCTTGAGCACCGGCAGGGTCGCGCACGGCAGCAATAAGGGTGTTGTTTGACTGTGCGACATAATGGTCGAACATGCCGCGGCCGATGCCTGCATATCCAGTCAAATCAGTTTAGCAATACCAAGTAGGTCAAAGGCACGTACCGCGGTTAGCTCCCGTGATGAGATACGTCTTTCCGGACATGTTTTCGGAGGTGCAGCGGGTATGGTGAGAATGGTATGTAGGTTGCAGTTAGATGCAGTCGGTTATAGCGCGAGCCGGCCAATATCATGGTTCAGCTCCATGGCTCTTACTCCGTGAGTTGAGTAGCCACGTGACACTGCACGGTCACCTGCAGCCTTGTCTAGCAGGAAGGCACCGAGCTGCCATTTCTAAGCAGCGTGCACGAGCGTGGCACAGCTTGATGTTTACATTTATGATTATTTTGATGGCTCCTAATTGGCTGTAGCACACCCACCCGCGGCCCGTCACACTAATGCAAGGTCAGCATCCTGTAAGATTGCGGTCCGTGTATTACATTCTTGTGTTCGCGCTCGTCTCGTGATGATCCGATTGCAATGACTTTGCGTGGTCATCTTCATCTACTCAGCAACTACTAAACGCAGTGAATTTGCCAGGCATGCTTCAAGTCAGCACTCTGCAGCTTCAGGTGCACGTTCGTACAGCTCGAAAGCTTTGATACAATATGTCTGCGCAAACGGGCTGCGGTTGAGATCCTCAGAATCCTGTCATGAATCAACTCTTCCACAACCTTGTGTCCTCGACCTACGGGCGGATTGGACTTGTGTCTAGCGTGTTCCTCACGTTATACGTACTTTGCGTTTCCATCTATCGTCTCTGCTTCCATTCTCTGCGGAGCGTTCCAGGTCCTAGGCTTGCCGCGTTGACGCAATGGGTCGAAACGTACTATGAGTGCTTCAAGGCACCCGGTGGGCAATTCATGTGGGAATACCAGAAATGGCACGAGAAATACGGTATGTCTACATGGTTCAGGAAGCAAATACTGTTTGCTCACCACTTCGTTGCAGGGCCTATCGTGCGTGTTAGTCCAAACGAAGTACACATCCAAGATCCTACCTTCTACGATACCCTGTATGCGCAGTCTCGCCACTCGGACAAGCTTAAGCATCTCGAGCACCGCTTCAACAATGAGATGTCCTCATTTGCTACTGCTGAGCACAGTCTTCATCGTCTGCGTCGTAGCGCGCTCAATCCCTTCTTCTCCAAACGTAAGATTACCCAGTACTCGCCTCACGTCCAGAGTCATATGGATCGTCTCTGCAATCGCATCGATTCCGAATTCGTCGCCAACGGGAAGACGATGAACCTGAATAATATGTGGGGCGCCTTCACTTCGGACATTGTCGTCGGATACTGTCTCGAGAAGCCGTATGACTTCATCCTGAACCCTGACTTTCGCGCCCAATTCTCCGACGCCATGTATGCCACCTTATGTCGAATCATACACGTAACATGACTAACACGCTTTAGGGTGGATCTCCTCGACCCTGTTCACTTTATCACGCAATTCCCATGGATGATCAGATCCCTGAAGCTGCTCCCAGACTGGCTCGTCGTGCTCCTGTCGCCGCCAATGCGCTCTGTCATGACCTTCAACAAAGAGATGGAGATGCAAATTCAGCACGCCAAAGCCGTACACGCCTCTGGGGAAAAGACGATGGCCATCCCATCTCTTTTCACAGCTCTCCTCGAGTCCGACCTCCCGCCCAGCGAACTCTCCACCAAACGCCTGCAGCACGAAGCCATCTCCGTCATCGGCGCGGGCATCGAAACAACAATGTACACGCTGTCGACATGCTCGTACCACCTACTCGCCAATCCTGTGACGCTGGCCAAGTTGTGCACTGAACTCGATGCAGCGATTCCAGATGCAAATCACATCCCGAATCTCGACGCGTTGATGCAGTTGCCGTACTTGACTGGCGTGGTCAACGAAGCTCTGAGATTCGGCTACGGCACTCCTCAGCGCATCCCCCGCCTCTCGCCAACACCCATGGTCTACCACACCCCCGAGGTAGACTACCAGCTCCCTGTAGGCACTATCGTGAGCATGGACCATTACACCGCCTCTCATGATCCAAGTGTTTTCCCTGATCCCTTCGCGTTCATACCGGAGCGCTGGGCAAACGATGCAAAGGCACCAGATGGAAAGGCGCTGACAAAGTACCTGATTGCATTTGGACGTGGAACGAGGAGCTGTGTGGGCATGCAGCTTGCGTATGCGGATTTGTACATTGGCATTGCGAGTTTCTTTCGGCGGTTTGAGTGCGCGCTGTTTGAGACTGGGCGCGATGCCGTTGATCTGTACCTTGATAGCTTTGTTCCGCGCGCGAAGCCGGGGACGCAGGGAGTGAGGGTTGTTGTTCAGAGGAAGCGATAGCGTTCTTTCGTTGTTGCGCCGCGGGGGCAGCTGGCCCCGGGGGAGGGCCGACGATGCCCGAGGCTGTGCACGCTAGGCGCTAGGCTGCAGCACTTCCACCGTGGTCCTTCTTCGACGCGCTGAATACCACACGGCCTGAATCTCATCTTCCTGTGATAGTAGTTTTGACCCTCACGAACGCGACAGTGCTATAGATATCGCTATGGATACTGCTACGATGCCTGCTCCAACCCCACCTCCTCTTCCACCTGCCCCAAAGCCCGCCGCAAAGGCCATAAACCTGAAAGTATCTGCGCCATCATCTCAACCGAAGCATTGTCGCAGTACAAATGCCCTATTACCACTTGACCAAACCTTTAGGCCATGCTACATGTTTTTATATGGCTCACTTATGGACCCGGAAGTCCTACAAGCGGTCCTGAACCTTCCCGAGTTTCCCACCACACGACCTGCAACCATTACCGGGTTTAGAGTCAGAATGTGGAGTATATATCCAGCGCTCATACTTGGCGATGGCGATGACAAAGTGTCAGGCGTGGTGTGGAAAGTAGAGAAGGAAGACCACTTCAGGCGTTTGCAGGAGTACGAGACCAGTGCTTACATCTGGACTTGGTGCGAGGCGACTTTGGCTGATGATGAGATGGTGCTTGAGAAGTGTCGCACTTTCTCTTGGGCTGGTGATCCGGATAGTCAAGAGCTGGAAGATGGGAGTTTTGATCTGGCGCGGTATCAGAGGGTACTCAAACCTCATGTTATTAGACGGCGGCCTACGGACTTTTGAGCATGACCGCAAGGCCACGCCTAGAGAGGACATCGTAGCATGTTTGCGCATGGCATCACTATGCATAGAAGGACGCAGTAAATGGATTGTGCAGTCTGGGAACTGGCGGGCTGTGTAACTCAGTCCATACCTCCATCTTCTCCTGCCAGATTTCACAGGTTCTCCATGCAACGGGCATTCGGCCTTTACAGCTCCTTCGTACTTTCAACATCCGCGTCCTTCTTTACGTCGACGACGTTGATATTCGGTTCTTATAGGGTGGCTGGTGTTCGCATAGCGGCTGCGGTCTTAACAACAGGGCGAAAGATAGAGGTTCGCTGGTCTCAGTCCAACCCACGACCGTACACTATTCGTTGGTCGGTGTGTTGTTTAGGCTTTCAGGAATGCCCTTCTCTATCTATATACCTCGCGGCTGATGGTGAACAGCGGACGCCATGTCTTCGAACATGATGGTTGTGTGTAGCGACCACGTGTGCACGCGCTGTTGCCGAAGGAGAATGTTGCGCCTCGGCATGTGTGTACCTGGAGTGTTGGTATGCGTCGGAAGGAGAGTGCTTATTGCTGGGACGGATTAGCGTGGAACTAGTCCTTTACGAGAGGATGTGTACACACCATGCTGTTGTCGGTCTCGACGTCGTATGTACAGCTTGTACAGGAGCCAGATAGTCGGTGGGCACGTGACGAGCAAGGCGATGATAGCAATGATGCTTTGGGTGTCGGGTGTCATGATTTAGCGCGCTGAAGGATGTACAGAGCTTTTAGTATGTTCCGATGACTGTTTTGCAGTTGTTGCGAGAACGTGGTCATGCCAGCGAGCGAAAGACCCTATATATGTCGCGGGATTCTTACCTGCTTGGACAAAGATTCTGGCCACGGCCGATCAATCCGCAGCCTCGTCCTAGCACCGACCATCCATCAGAGGCTTGGAAACATCTAGTCGGACGTCGGGTCTGCACATACCTATTGATGTTTCCCATTTCCGTAAACGTTGCTTGCGTCAGAGCAAGATTCCGGAATGAGCCTATCAGATGCAAGAAAACAAGAGAGATTCTGGGTGCGACCAATCATTCAACAACAAGCGCAACGACCCCAGCCGACACAATGCCAGGGCGCTGCTTTAGCCTTGTAGAAGAATCGCATGCGCTGTGGGCTCTTGCGAGGCCTGAAGCACGTCGCATGAAAGATTTTGTAATCGACCTATCAACTCCGCTGTGTTGAGTCGCGAGGCGCGGTAACCTGAGTGGGGCAGATCTTGGTATGTACAAGCCAGCAGCCTACCTGGTAAACGCCGTCAAAGATTATGGTATGATCCAATCATCGTGTGCGAGGGACTACAGTGGCGCAGTCTTTGCAGCCGGGTCGTCAAGAAAAGGCTTGGGCTGTCGATGATTCTGGATTCGACCAATGGCGTGCCGCCCGCGGGCCTGCCTCGTTTCCTTCCCAAACGCATTTGCTTTCAGCTTTCAGTCAGCTTTCAGCTTTCAATCTTGAACCTTCAACCTTCAACCTTCAACCTTCAAACTTCAACCTTCAACCTTCTACTTACTGTCGCAGTCATACGTTGACTCAGGCATTACAACTCCGTTTGTTTGTTTCCACATTACAGTGCCAGAAGCCTTACAAACCTTCGCAGCCTTGCCTCAGGTCTTTCTGCCTCTTGTTACTTACCGCTGACTTGTCGCCGAGGAGCATCAGCTGAATGGTCTAACTTCGAAGTTCGCAACGAGAACTGTACGTTCGCCAGAGACTTGGGAAATGCCAAAAAGACAGGAAGAAGAAGAGTTAGAATGGACGTCACGAAAAGACGACATCCTTAGTCTCTACGTTGAGCAAGACAAGTCGCTGTCCGAGGTCATGCATGCCATGGCCGATCGAGGCTTTGCACGAACGTAAGCGATACCCAGCACCATGTCGTAATTTTCTGACCGACACAAGCAAGCCACAATATGAACGATCTTTTAAAAGATGGCGCATCTCGAAAAATGTGCGGAAGGATGAATGGGACTTCATTCTCGATCGCGTAGACAAAAGGAACCGCCCGACTGACGTCAAAGTCCGCGGTGTAGTGATACCGCAGGCGAGACTAGAACGACAAAGACACAGGAAACGTGAGACGGTCTTTGACCTTTGCAAGTCAAGTAGGTGAAGAGCCGTTCTGGATTATATCGATTCACTGACTGATCATCCAGGACTGCACTCTCAGTCTCATGCTCGGACACCACCGGGTATACAGATTTTCACGCCACAAGCGGCTACAAACGACCATCATCTAGAGATGAGAGATTATGCAAAGCGGGATGCGCATCTCGACTATGTAGCTCCCGTCGCTGGCAATTCCCGAGAACCGAATCCACAAGTACAAGAGGACGACCATGCTCTATCACCAACACCCACTACTGCGACTATTGTGCCCTCTGCGCATAACGCTTCCGACCATATTCCCACCGAGATTATATTGGAAGCTGCACCATTATCCTCATGTTCACATTTGTTGTACGACTATATTCGTGCAGCCATCTTTGTCAATGGAGACCAGTTCTCGGACGTCGTTCCCGTATCGGAAAGGTATGGTCTCTGTTCTTACTTAGACAAGCAGCCCACTCGAGAGCTGCTTCGTCACGGTCTCAGCGAGCTTCTTCGGGCGTTCGTCCAATGGACACTACCAAAGGATGATTTATATGACGTTGTAAGAGCTTCTGGGACTGCCGATGACCTGATCCTCCTCCGTCGCTTGCTGTTGGTCACCAAAACCGATTGGAAATGGGGATGTTTCAGCGAAAAGCTTTTGTTCTATGCAGCGCAAGACGGGAACGAATGTCTCCTCAAGATGCTAATTGACTTCGGAGTGAATATCAACGTCAGAAGAGCCTTCGGGCCTCAGTTTCTGGCATCTCACGTAATCAACGTGTTGCAGTTTGCGGTCCTCGCAGGGAACAAGAACGTGATCGAAATTCTGGATAAGCACGGTGCTACAATATTCACTGGGTGGAAATTCGACGATTGCGCCTTCATCTTTGACGCAATTGCTCAAAATATTGGGGACTTGACGGAACCGTTGTTCGCGAGGGCGGCGAACTCGAACGTTTCGACAGTACGGAAAGGAATTGCAGTTCTTGTTGTCGCTGTGCAACATTCCTACGATTCGATAGTCAGTAGCCTCCTCGAGGCTGGATTCAATCCTTACTTCGAACTCCACAAATACCCATTCCAGATCGAGATACTCGACACCCATAGCGCTTTTATGATTGCGCTGAGTGCTATGAAGATCACATACGTCAAGAACTTCCTAAAGTTCCCGCTTTATGGTCTCAACAAGGAACATTGTCAAGAGCGCCTAAGACAGTTGACTGCTGCATATGTATTCGCTCGTTGTTCCGAAAACGTCGATCTCGAGAACGCAATTCTAGAAGCTGGATGGCGTCCAGACGAGGTCGGACTAGTTCTGGGGTACGATTTTGTGCTGAAGTATCTCTCTGATGTACTAGAAGGAGCCGTTGAAAGTGGCGATTGTAACAAGGTTAGGTGTCTCACCCAGATGGGCGCCAATCCAAACCGTCCTAAGATTCCAGGTATCGAAAAACGACCTCTTCGACTGGCGATAGGTAGACAAGATGTGGCTATGGTGCGCCAGTTGATAGCGGCTGGAGCAGATGTCAACCTCTCTTGTTCATGGGAATACGAAACGCCGCTGCAAGAAGCAGCCGCTATGGGGAGTCTTGAGGTACTCAGCTTATTAGTTGAAGCCGGGGCAAATGTCAACTTTTGTCCAGGTTATATGCACAACAGCGCAATTGCGATTGCAGCTGAAGACGGCAATCTCGAGATGGTCACCTACCTACTTAAGTCAGGAGCTGATATTCAGGGACGATACAACAGAAACTACAGGAGGACACTGTATGGAGCGATAGGGGCTGGACATGATTCTATAGTGGACTTACTACAAGATTGGAAGAGGTCTAAGTTTGGAGAGCAAGACTGCGATACGATCGACAATATTATAGAAACGATGGCGCGTAATGAGATGAGATTCGCAAGTGGAGACGATTGGACTGAGTATCTGGAAGTGGAAGTGGAACAGGAACAAATGGATGCAGGATATACCATATACTCCACGGATGAGGAGTAGACGCCTGACGTGCAAGGAATCGCACGCGTTCATGGTTCTGGAGTCGACCCACTCCGCCAGTCACCCAAACTCCAACAAAACCGCCGGAGCTGTTACTCCACACAAACGCCAACTCCCTCCCCAACCTTGCACGCCAACCTTCCGCATCACCAACACCGTCAGCATCTCCTCAGCACCCTCCCACAACGCCTACCCTCTCCCCCTCAAATCTCCCTCTCTCCCTCCCCTATCACAAACACGTGGCCATCGGCCCTAATAAAGCTTGTTTCACGCCCAGACACCCTACACATTCGCTGTCCCAAAACGCGGGCAAGGATCTACATGTCACTTCCGTACTAGGATAAGGCTTGCTTTGTCTGCTGTCCGAAACGAGCTGGATAGATCGACAGGTACGGCGAGGTGGACTAAGCGACTCAACGTGTTGAGGGCAGGATGGAGGATGTTGGATGGGATTTGCCGTGCTTGTTTTACGGTGAGGTGATGAGGGAGTGGATTTGGGATGGGAAAAGTTTTCCTGTCATGGATAATCGGGGAGTTTGGTGGTTGATCACTGATAGTGTTGGTGGTTTCGCTGTGACGTCGGTGATTGCGCGGTGGTTGAGTACGGCCCCACCTGTTGCAAGTGGAGAAGATTAGTATTGCGATCGTTGGTATCGTGCTGCCGTGTACCGAATGAGCGGTGATACTTTTTGTGGTCCTTGCATTGGAGTTTCGAGGGGAGAACATGTGTGTACGTCATTAGGCAAAGAAGCATGAGAATAGACAATGTAAGTTTGTTTCATGAAGCGCTCAAAGTAACGTCGATAGTTGCTATCGTCAAGTTTGACAAAAAGGTGGCCTTAAACCATGCCCTCGCATACATACGCCTTGGTAGATGAAATCGCCGCTATGGTATAGTGCCCTAAGAAATGTAGAGAAGAAAATCCAGAAAGATCATGTTGCGCCTTGTCCTGAGGCTTCATGTCGCCGATGAAATCCTAGTTGATGCTCCTGCTAAACGCCCGTAAATCCCGTGGTGTCTATAACGCCGGGTATCCTGTTAAGATGTGCTCGTCGTGAAATCTAATATGTACATGGAAGGTGACATGCGATGTTGTGCTGAGGGTTTCTCACGCCATCGCTTTTTGAGGCGGGTATGTGATCTCGTCTCGGTCTTTGCCTTCTTTGAGGCAGTTGCCTTGCCTCCCAACTTTTTCCTGCAAGAAATGCAGCCGTTCGGTATCGTCCTCGTCGAATGCGAAGGCGCCGTTCCAGAATCCGCAGTCGATGTTTGTGGTCTCGTTTCGGTATACGACCTGCGCTTGGGCTGCCAGGTCTACTGGCGGCAGGCTATGTTCCTCGCCAAGTTTCTCTCCGATTGAATCAATCTCGCTTTTACCAGGCATGTGATGGAATAGCTCGGAGTTCAGTGTCCAGCACCGTAGTCCCGGGCTCGGGTATTTGCTCCGACTTCGAGGGTTGGCTTTCTGCCACTCCGGTGTGGGAGATGGCGTGTTCTCTCCCTTGTTGCAGGCGTGAAGAAGGGCGACGTCGAATGCGCGGGCTCCTGACTTCTTCAGTTTCGGCGGAGCGAGATCGTTGAGGAGACGTTCGGCGGCGCGGCGTGTGACGGCGTATCCGAAGGAGCAGAGGGGGAACTTGGCTCGGTGCATGACGCGCGTTTTCTCGGGCATGCCTAAAAGGCGGAATAGGTCTTGCGTGAATGGGTGTAGGTTAATCCATGATGGAAGCGTAGGGTCTTGCCATAGGATGTGTGGCATAGCGCTCAGGTTGAAGGACTGGCGGTCAGTCTTTGGGCCGTCCTCGGTGACAATGTCGAAGTAGTCTCCGCAATGACCGAGATAGAGCAGATCCCAGGCATCTTGGTCGCCCCAGTATTGTGTGTGGTTGCTGGCGGCGTTGACGCCCGGGTGTTGAGCGCGTGGTGGAGGAAGGAGCTGTCGGGCAGCGCTTGCCGCAAGGGGTATCTGGACACTGCGCAGGCGAATGTCCCAATCGACGTCGTCTTCGAGAATGAGAGCCGTCTCGAGGCCTGAATCTAGGAACCTAAATCATAGCGAATCAGCAGCAGCTCGATGTGGCTGTATGCACGCCAAGACGGGTGGCATGCCGGCGTCGATATAACTTACCAGCGCAGCGCGTTGTGGTGCCCTAACCACGCTAGTATCGATCCCTTCTGCGCCTTTTCCTGACCGTTGATGAAGCGCTGGACGTCGCCTTCAGTCCATTCTGGCTGGGTCGGGATGGTAAGGTCGATGTCGGTGACGTTGGCAGCTTGCAGGAGTGGCTTGCGGCGCGAGGAGCCATCCTTGGACACGACTACGACGGCGCCGAAGCCTAAGGTCTTGTTGGAGGGTATCTTTGCAGGGCGCGACTCAATCGAGGACATCCATTGCAGGTATATGCGGTCAGTGTCTCTGCTGTGGTACCATATTCCGATGAGGACGAGGACTGTGAGCAGCAGCAGCGGCGTGGGCCGCTTCCTGGAGGCAAGCATGTCTAGCTAAGGTAATGGGCCAAAAGTTGTTGCTGTTGAAGGAGAGTTGCTAGACATGTCCGCGAAGTCGAGGAGGTGGGGGCACGCTATCGCAAGAACAAAGTAGGCATTAGGACGTTGTGTGGCAGGACCGAAGCAGATCGCGCTGGGCGAGGGCCATGTCTAAATGTCGCAGGTTGCGGCGGGAGCAATACGGGAGCATGCCGGGGTGTGGCACCGACATTGCGTCTTGTAACCACTGTATCAGGCTACCTTAGATTATCGCGCATGCACCCGGGATTGCCGTTATTTTACGCTCGCCCGGGTGGATATAGCACGCAAGAAGACGCGGCCGTCGCAGGCTGAGTGTGCGACGGCGCAGTTGAAACGGGCGACAGCACCCAGACGCCTCCAAAAGTGGAAGTACTCCAAAATTGAAAGGCGCGTCTGACCTGCCACCTGTCCGGACGTGCTTGCGGCTGACTTTTTGTTTTATGACATGCATACGTACCGTGTCCGTGTTGGCGGTCCCAACAACGGCGTCACGTGGTCTGCGTGCCGAGTCGATGTGAGCTGCGTACGCTGGGACACGCTACCCTCTGCGCTACCCATCATGCGCCTCATTCAACCACCGATTACGACGCCGACGCTTACAACATTGGACTACGACGACTATTGATGAGTACGACAAGCACTCCTAGACGACGAATTGGACGACGACACCCCGTGACCCTGCGCGACTTGTTTCTGCAGCACTACATTACCTATTCCATCTCCCAAGTCCGCTGCTTGCTAGTTTGTGTCATGCTGTGCGCCGCTGCACCCTGAAACTAGTCGTGCGCCGGCTGCTTGTCCTCCGCAGCCTCCCCTTCTCCAGGCCGCCCGTCCTCGATCTGCGCCTAAACGGGGTGACCCCAGGCACAAACATCCCCTCGCAATCCACCGCACCACATGCCCGCCCACTCAGCCAGCCCATAGACATGGCCACGCTGGGCTCGCCCTCTCCCCCGACTTCCCCCTCGCGAACCATGCGCCGCCGCGGCTGGGCCAGGAAGGTGGAGCGCTACTGCTGCACCGCCGTCACCTACTTCCCGCTGCTCTTCGTCTACGGCCTGACGTCGTGGGCCGTGTGGGTGCAGGCTGGCATCGGCTTTGTCCCGTCGAAGAATGTCTGGACGGGTGCGTCTCCCTCTGTACAATACATCCAATGCATATCTGTCCATGTCCAATGAGACCACCATGAACAAATACCTGGACGCGACTACTGACACGCCGCACAGGAAAGTTCTCGTCTGCACTCGGCGTCTTCCTCTATCTCATGCTCAACTGGAGCTACACGACCGCCGTATTCACCGACCCCGGATCGCCGCTCAACATCAAGAATGGCTACAGCCACCTGCCGTCGCAAGAAGGAGGAGAGATGCAGTACACGTCCTTCACAGTCAAGGCATCGACCGGTGAACTGCGCTTCTGCAACAAGTGCCAGTCCAAGAAACCCGACCGCTCCCACCACTGCTCCACGTGCAAGCGCTGCGTCTTGAAGATGGACCACCACTGCCCGTGGCTCGCGACTTGCGTTGGCCTGCGCAACTACAAAGCCTTCGTCCTCTTCCTGACATATCTCTCCTTCTTCTGCTGGGTGTGTTTTGCGACATCTGCGACCTGGGTCTGGAGCGAAATCCTGAGTGACGGACAATACACCGAGTCTTTCATGCCCGTCAACTACGTTCTGCTCGCCGTGCTGTCCGGCATTATCGGGATCGTTATCACAGGTTTCACCGCATGGCATCTGTGGCTTACAGTCAGGGGCCAGACTACGATCGAGAGCTTGGAGAAGACGCGCTACCTCTCACCACTCCGAAGCACGATGAAGCACCAGCTCAATGACCGAAACTACGTCGAGGCGCAAGCGAATGGACGCTTGAGCGTTGGCGACCAATTGCGCGAGATTCACGCGAACGCTCTTCCGGGAGTGACCAGACCCGAAGAGGGTGAGCAGCCTTCGCGATCCGCATCGCGCTCTCCCGTCCCAGGCCACGCGAACGGCTACTCCCACCCGCACTACCAATCCTACGAATACCGAGAACGCCAGCAGAACCAAGACCGCTACGACAGCTACCTTGACGAGCGCGATAACGAGATGCTACCCAACGCATTCGATTTGGGCTGGAAACGCAACATTGGGCATGTCTTCGGGCCTTCGCCGTTGAAGTGGTTCGTGCCACTGGTAACAACAACTGGAGACGGATGGTCGTGGGAGCCCAGTCCGAAGTGGCTGGCAGCTCGGGAACGGATAAAGCGCGAAAGAGAAAGGGAAGAGCAGATACAGAAGCAGCGTGAGCGCGCGGCTGGCTGGGGTGTTGATACTCCTACGGAAGCAGAGTTTACACGTCCCACTCGCGGCCCGGGTGGGTGGATGCCCGGCCAGTACAACCAGCCTCCACCGCGAGCCACAAGACGACCGGAGTGGCAAGCACCCACTCGTCAAGGCGAGCCGACCCAATACCTCACCCCCTCCAATGGCATCGCCAAAGGTCCAATCGACGGACGAAGAAGTCCGAACAAAGCCGACCAAATACTAGGACGAGAACGCGGCATGTACGCCGATGGCGACGTACAGCTCCAAAATATTGATAGGAGGAAGTTCGACCAATACAATTACATATCCGAAGACGAAGACGACGATTACGAAGTCTCCAGCGACGAGCAAGCGGTAGACCAACGAAAAGCACGAAAAGCGCAGACCGTATCTGCACCACCAAAAGGAACGCATAACTGGAATGATATACCAGATGGGTTCTTAGACCCAGCACCAAAAGCGAAGAAAAGCACAAGTCGGGAACGGCCACGGAAAAACGGCGAATGGGATGATTGGGGGACGTGAAGATATGGCGAATATAACGGATACGAAGGCATGTTGGTTATGTTGATATGTACATTTCAATGTTGCATAGCATGGCGTTTGTTGCATAGGAATGGAGTTCATGTCTAGTCATTTGAGGAATGGAAATATTCTTATCCATGGCTTTTGGTGTCTGCTGACACGACGCGCTGGGTGCAGATTCTAGCTCTCGTGTACGACAGTATAGTAAATCTCAAGTCCAGGGTTCCGATCCCCATCATCCGCTTCGGTCTCCACCTCCTCTGCCTTCGCGCCTTCCTCTTTCAGCCTCTTTAATCTGGCCTCTTGTTCCTTCCTCACCCAAGCCTCCGCCCTCTTCTTCCTGACCTCCTCTTCCCTTTCCCTCATCTTCTTCCTCGCCATCTCCCTCGCCAACACCCAGCTCGCATTCTTTCCCTCGACCCTCGCCATAACCGTCTGCGCCTTTGTCTCCAACAACTCGATTGTCTTCATCATCGCCTCATGCCGCGTACGTCCTTCTTGCGGCGCGGTCTCAAACTGTAGTTCGTTATCGTCACTGATGCCTAGAACGACACAGCGGAAGGGCTCGACGGCGCTGCGGGGTTGGTGACGGCCGATGAAAACTTCGTGATCGTCTGGGTTAAAGAAGATGGCGGAGAGCTCTGGGTGGTTGTTAGTTCTGGGGAGATCAAACGATAAAGAGGCGTACTTCTTAGGTAGTTGTAGGTTGCTTCGTCTGTGGGAGTTATTGCGGATGTGGGAGATGGTTGGGACATTTTTGGTGGTATGGTGGTAGAACGTTCTTGTAGTGTAGAAGGAGGGGTTCGAGTTGATGTGCAGGATTCGCGGTATATCCAGATGTTAAGACGGTCTACTGTCATAGGTACTTGCTTTGCTTTCATGAGACTGGCTGTAAGCAGCTAGTCAAGTCTCGTTGATTCTGGGAACTGACTAGATAAGCAAACTTGTACTGTTGTACATACTATTGACTATATACACCTCTAAGAACTTGCATGTTGATCTGGTTGAACTCACACACCCGCCCTTTTCCGGAAATCGACATAGATCCCACGAAATCAAGATCAGCGGGCATGCCTATCACAGCCGCAGAGTACAACACTTTCTACTTCATCGCCAAACTCATCCGCCAAGTGTTCCCGGGGCACAGATTGTATGTCGCCCGTGAAAAGAACCTAACCGGCAAGGTTACAAGCTACCACGCCGGGGTGGCGAAGTATGAAGGCAAGGTGATGAAGGAAATCATCATGGCTAGCGGTAATGCGAAGAAACGCGTCGATGCACTAGATACACTTTTGGGAGATCTGGAGGACTACGTGCACGACAACTTTGAGCAGATCGAGGCGGAACGGCGGGCTAGGGATGCTGAACTTGATGCTGAACTTGATGCCATGGAACCATCCAGTGAAGAGGAAGACGAGGGGGGGAAGAGAAAGGGGAAAGCGCCGGGTGGAAGAGGTGCTGATAAAAAGCCCCGGTTAGACACCGACCAGTCTCTGGTGAATGGGGACGTGGAAAAGTCTGGTAAACGCAAGTCAAGTGAGGACTCTTCACCAGTTCGGGTGAAGGCAAGAGCGAAGCCAGAGGATAGAGAGTTGAAGGAAGGGACAAGGGGCGGTCAGGGTGATGTGCAGACTTCGTAGTGTGTTACATATGTGACATGTTGTTCTGCTGCAAGTACCTGTGCGGCTATCATGAGACTGGGATTAAGTTGGCTGGGTGATGCTAAGTTTGATCACTGTTCTGGTAGACAAACTTATACCTGCCTTCTACTTATATAACTTCACGCACACGCATGCTGACATTCCAACACTTACGCTATCTAACAACCCGGGACCAGCACCGATGTCCAGTAGCATCACAGACCTCGAGTTCCAGACCTTCTACGTCGTAACCAAGCTTCTCGACGCCGTCTATCCAAATGGCAAATTGTACGTTTCCCACGGCTTGAGCACTGACAGGGATTCTTACCGGTATCGTGCCGCTGTAGTCGAGTCAAAAATAGAGTCTTCAGGTAGTGTCAAGAGACGACTACTCTCGCAGGTCGAAACAGCCAAAACTCGGATTGGTGTTCTAGAAGCCATGCGGAAGAGGCTTGAGGAAATCGCGTCCTGGAGACTCGACGTGATCATAAGCGACAAGGAAAGAGATGATGTGGAAGAAAACGAACGGAAGAGGAAGAACTTGGTGAGTTGCGAAGTAGCGTATGCAGAAGCTAGGAGGAGAGCGGAGAGCGGAACAGGGTTGGTCTCAGCTGCAGGAGAAGCTTTGACGATGGAAGATATCGCCAGAGAAATTGGGGCAGAGTTTATTCCACAGAAGCCTTGGTAGATAGGAAAACGTAGAGGCATGGTTAAGCAATGGATGGCATGTTTGGTAGATGTGGTCCCTGGTACCTGCTGGTCGAGAAGTCAGGGTCCTCACTAGCGCCGCGCGCTAATCAGATTGAAAGTACATGTGCACCTGCCCAGGTGGATATCTCCATCACATCTCATCACCAGAAACCCTACCAAAGTTGTGCCCTACTACTAACCGATCTCAACTTTACAGCCGTCTTTGATCGATATGACTAATGTCATGACCTGCTTCTCCACTCCTACCAGCTCGGCAGCTTCTCCTTTGGGAAGTCTGATATCCGCGAAGCTCTGAAGAAGTCGCACAATCACGTACCCAGCTTCCGTTAGCGCGAAGTCCACTAGAATTTCAGATTAGCTTAATGACGAAAAGCGTAACCCACGCAGGTACTTACTGCCCAGACAGGTCCGCGGTCCACCATGGAAAGGAAGATATCCCCACTTGGCGTTCGTCGGATCTTGCTGCAAAGGCATCTCTTCATCCCACCTCTCTGGACGAAACAGCTCTGCATCCATCCCGTAAAGGTCCGGTCGGCGGTGCATGGCATACATACTGAAAGCTATCGCGCTCCCTTTGGGTATGAGGACTGGGGAAGTGCGATCCGGACCGCCACCTGTGGGGAGTACCGTGGTCCTTGTAGCCATACGGATGTTGACAGGTACAGATGGGTATAGTCGCAGGACTGATCTGAGGGTGAGAAGCTCATTCGAGAGGAAAACTCAGGGTTGAGACGTACCTTCTCTGAGTACGTTTTGCAGGTACGGCAATCGTCTTAAGCTATCGCGGTCAAGTTCCGCATCAGCGCCACAGGTCGAGAGGAGTTCCTCGCGCAGCTTCTTCATCATGTTCGGATGACGGACGAGTAGAAAGCTGTTCACATTAGACGCGAATCCCAACACCGGAAAGCGCAACTCACAATGTCCAGGAAAGAAGGCAGGCTGTGGTGTCCCTCCCAGCGACCAACAGACTGATGATCTGACCTCTTAATGCAGCTCGATTCGACGCATGCTGCGCAACGGCATCCAGAAAGACATGTTTACCCTCATCATCTGTCTTACATCGGTTCGACGAAATGTTGCGATCGATGATCTTGTCGGCAAACTCGCGAACATCTCGGCAAGCTTTCCTGAACCCTCTACCGTCAATCATCCAGTACAGGTCCTGGAGTCGATATCTGATAACGGCCCATTGTTGGGCGGTATTGAATGCATCCGCAAAAGTCCGCTCCCCAATAACCTCCGGGTTTGCGAGACTGCGAGTGGACTCGCCAAACAAAAACGCTGTTGTAGTATCGAGAGTCAAGCGGAAGAAGAGCGGCTGCAGATCAACGATCCCGTCGCGTTCTCGAACCAACCGGACGAGATCATTGGTCGCTTCTTGGAATATTTCAAGGCTCTCATAATGCTTGTGCTGCAATTGCGGTCGCAGCATATCCCGGGAGTGTTTCCAGTCAGCGCTTTCCTGCGTGAAAATACCGTCACCAAACGCCGGAAACAGGATAGCTCGACGAGGCCCAAGACCAAAATCTACCTGTAAGTCAGCGTTCTAAAACACCCACCACCTCATCTTCTTCATTCCGTACCTTTGAAACTGGTAGACAAGATAGCCTCCAAATTAGCCGGCTCGACCGTTCCATACGCCTTCACTCCCAAGAACTTGTGCTCGAGTGTCTTTCCCGTTTGCCGAAAATGGAACAGGAAGAGCTCCATCAATCGCGATTCAGAGTCTGCGCGGAAGATCTGCTCAAGTCGATCGATACCAAATGGCCTCTGGTTCTTCAGTCTGGGGGCTGGAAGACATCCGTGGCGGTCGCTAATCGCTTGATCTGACTTTGCAAATTTAGTAATTTGGGAGTGTGTAGGTGATAGATTGGACCTACGAGGCATTGTCGTCGGTAAGAAAGATACTGGATTACGAGCCCAACCAATGAGACAGTTGCTACAAGAAGTGTCACCGGCGTCATCGTGTCGACGAGATCGGAAAAGGCAGCAGCCAGATCATGGAAGAGAGTCGGCGAAAATCTGAGAAGTAACTGGAAAAAAGAGATCGAGCGTTTGCGCATGCGCCACAAGGGTGGAGCATTCCTTGTTGGGCGTTTGTGCAACGCAACACCAACACGCTACGATGGTGCAGCAGACGTCGAATGGGCCGTGCTTTTGATTTTTATCCTTCTTGAGTATTCTTCCATGTCGCAGAAGAATGTCTAGTACATGGGGGCTTCCACACCATTGGACCATCAGAGACTATTCGACGCGCTTGTGTCTACTGCCATGGCGAGCAAACTGTCGCATTTATCCACCCATATAGGGAGCGTACTTTGCCTTCCCTTTTCCAACTCACCAAAACACCAAGCTATTGTGGAAGCGAACTCCAGAGTCATGGCCAAACACGTAACCGAAGCCGATCACCGCACTCTCAGCTATGTGAAGATGCTAGCCGATAGCCTTTTCGGCGATGAATTTAAACCATCCATCGTCGTTTATCCAAGCTACGACAAAACCGGTCCCAATGGATATTTGACTACCCTTGCTGCTAGCTCAACCACAGATTCCTCGATAGTGTGGCCCGAATGGGCACCATTTGGGCCACACAGGGGATCGACAAGAGAAGAAGCATTGTTAGGACTGTTACGCAGCTTGGAGGGGTGGGCGGCGCAGAAAACTCGGGAAAGGAATCGAGCAGACTTTTGGGAGAATGTCTATAACGGAGTGGTGGCCAGGGGCAGGGAAAGAACAGAGCGCGCTGCTCGAGAGGCGGCGACCGGGGCGACGAATGGTGAAGCAGATGGACGAGGTGACCTAAGAGGCGCAGGATAGAGAGGCAAGATATTTGTACGAAGATTGGAGAGAGGTAGAACGGAAGAAGCTTTTGTACCGAGATTGGAAGAGCCTTGCGTCTAACCGTGTTAGTGCTCGTCAATAGCGATGTACACTCTAGGCATAACAGAATTATCTCTTGACGCAGATACCGCACGTGTTAGGCGACTTCAACCACTTTGGATCATACAAGTGACGTACCAGACACTATTTGTCTATCACATATCCTTATGGGGGTCTCATATGGAGAATATGCAATCGTATCGAATCGCTTCAATGGTTCCACAAAGTTTGCTTCTCCAAATGATCTCACCCACCTGTTCACCTTCCCGCCTCACTGTACAACTAGACAAACACCTCCGTACACCACTGATCCTAGTAGATGACGCGGCTTCTTCACCGGTTTCTCGCCATAATAGACCGTCTCTAGATGTTTTCAACGTCTACACTCTTAAGTCACAGAGATCACAGATGGATTCATTGGCGGCAAGCATGCCTGAGCGCCTCGGCCGACCTCGCGAGCCCCTTCCAAATCTACGAGGTGAAGACGAAACGGAGATCAGATACCTCATTGACTTGATCGAAAGTAAGTACCAAAACCCCCCAAACCATCTCTTCCACATACTCACCTCCCTCCTCCAGCACAATCATGGATCCTCTCCCCCCTCAAACCCCCCTCCTGCATCCTCGGCCGCCACCCCCCACCCAAAGCCTCCGCCTCCTCCACCTCCAAACCAAAAGCCGTCGACCCCTCTCTCGCCTTCTGCGCCTCACTCTACAGCATCGAACAAGGCGGAGTTAGAAGCTTGGAACTGGGACCGGAGATGGGTGGGAGCAGGAAGGAAGCGCTGGAACATTTGTTGGGGGTTGTGGAGATGGAGATTGGGAGGATGATGTTGAATGATGATAATTATCAGAAGAAGAAGGCGGCGAGGGATGGGGGTGGGAGTGTTGGGAGTGGGAGTGTGGGGAGGGGTGAGAGGGGATGAGAGGTCTTTGGGGTAGGGACGATGTGGGTTTTGGGTTTTTTGAAGTCTTTGACGTATGCATAACGATTTTGACCACCTCGAATAAGACACTTCGCTTGGTTTCATAGTTCTGTCCATTGTCGTGCGCTTCTAAATGTTCATGAACGTCTTCGTGCTCGAGCCTCCTCGAAGTATCGTATTCCTCGGAAGCATCTCTTTGATCCAATCCATCATGATTATTTCCATATCCAACTCCAGCGTCTCGACTATTCGCTCCCGTCTCTCCGCTCTTCGAACACCCTGGAGTTCAATCTCAACTTTATGGAAACCGCGCTGCATCATAGTTCTCCACTGCCTCCAACAGTTTCAATAGCACCTCACTACGCGAGTTTGCTACTTGCATTGGAATGAAAACCGTCTCTTGAATTCTAGCCTGAGAGACAACCATCACCGGATATCCTATGACCATGGCACAATATTCGAAGTTGCCATTCGTGGTGCGACGACGAGCTATCTTTACAGCGGCGTGGAAGTTAGGTAGGAAGAGGGATGTAACCAAGAACTTGAGGAGTTTGAGGTTGTTGACATCGTCTCGTGTTACTGGGCGGCTGGCCATTGTTGAATCGAGAGGTAGTAGAAGAGGATGGGTGTGAGAGCGATCTTTCGTACTGGGAAGAGGATCTCATGCAATTATGCTCTAGGTGATTGCCCATACAATTGCTGGACTTGTCAGCAATGATAGGATGCATGGCTTGCTTTACTACGACAAAAGCTTCTTGAAGATGATTGCGATGTCAGAGAGCAAGCAACCCGACCGATACATAGCCTTGAAGGGCAACTCCCCAGTAAAGCTTCGCAAACCGTAGTCTTCATGAGTACCATGGCACATGAATCGAGCAACGAGAGTCGCCCCCACGTACCAGCACCTCCCGACGTTGCCGCTACGCCTCTCTTGGATAGCGATGAGAATCACTTGAGCTATCTCAGCAGTACAACACCTCTCCTCACCGATTCTTGACACCACACTAACATGATCACAGAGTTAATCGCCTCCACGTACCGCCCGGCACTAGAGCCACTGCTCCTTATGGGTAGATACGAAAGCAGAGGAGAGGGCATTGAAAAGTTCCGCGCGTGTGTCATTGGCTGGAATACTAAGTCAGTTACCCCAGAAAGGAAGTTCCTCATTTCGCCTGAAGAAGGGCTGAGTCGTCAGTCTGCACTGCTGGCTGTCATCAGGTTGGTGGAGAGTGCAGCGCATAAGAGAATGGCGGATCTGGAGGCCAAGGAGGCATGTGACCTTTGAAGTAGCTGGAAATATATGCCAGAGTCTGTATGATCAGAGTAAGATTCATGTCATCGTTCATAGCTTAGCTTTCTCGTCCAACAATGGTATGCCGACAGCCTCTTCGAGCTCCTTCACAGCGTCCTTCGTCTTGCCCAGATTCACCTTGATTGTCCTTAGCCCCGTCTTCTTCGCAAACTTCAAATTTATGCCGATGTCATCCAAGAAGAGAGTGTCACCTTCGGTCACACTTCCCATCCCCTTCTTCCTCGCGATCTTGTCCATCTCCCGTACCGCCAGCTTGTATGCCTCCGGATCTGGTTTCCTAACGCCCACCACCGCCGAGCCAAGGAAGATGTCAAAGCACGTCGTGATATCTGTTGAGTCGTTCGCGTAGGGGTTCGGCGCCGGTGCGTGGATGAGCTCTTTAGTGAAGAGCTTGCCTTCGTCGTCGAGGATGCCTGTGGGGAACGTAACGTTGTTGCTGAACGCGCCCAGGACAAACTTTCCGCTTTCGCCTAGCTTTCGTAGCGCAGGGTACATGTATGGATCCGGTGCTCGGCTGATCTTCATCATACGCCAAAATAGCTTCTTCGCGTCGATGTCCGGTACCTGTGGCTTCCCGCCCTCAATTGCTTGTCCACCACCGACGCTCTCTTGCTGCGCAAGCTTCTGGAGATATTGCGACCATACTTCCGGTCGCATAAGCTGCTTCTTAAAGGCCGCGAACCAGTCGTCATTTAGTTCGACTTCACCGCGTTCGATGAGCTGCCAGGCGCCGGTGTCGTGAGGGCCTTTCTGGATCGCGAAGTTTATGTAGCCATTCGGGATCTTGTTCTCAATTTCGTAATCGAGGATGGCTTGGAAAGGGCTTATGACCTGTAATGAGACACGTTAGCCAACGTGGTCCTGTCGCGCATAGTGATGGATGGCTGGGCAGGTGGCAGTGTGAGGAGGTACGTACGACAACCCCGCCGATGTCGAACAGGATGGCTTTTGGTGGCTTTGAGGAAGTCATGATAGATAGATGTTGATAGAGATGGCAAGCATCGCTATGAGACTGTCATGGTGGTTTGTAGCGCGTCATCGTGGTCGGCAGTCGAGGAGTCGTGAAGCCTCAAGGAACCTCGGCAATGGATAAGCTCTATCGGTCAACGGCGCTAGCCCCCGCAAACACTTCAACCTCACAGGCATGCATCGTTCATCACTGAGGTCAACTTTCACTAATCTTGCTATTTCTAATGATTCAAGGTATTCTAGACTGCTTTCTTCGTCTTCGACGCTTAGGCAGAGTTTGGGCTTGGGATGAAGACTCTTTAGGTGGAAGTTTCACGACAATCTTGTCGCTCATCCCCATCCTCGCATCCTGAAACTCGGGGGTCGATCCGGTCCTCGTCGACACATCACAATGCTCGACCTCCATATCCATTCTCGACACTGGCATATTGGGTATCACGCTCACCTGTCGTGTATCATTGGGCGGCAGCCGGACCCTGGGATACTTCCGATCCGTTAGGCCCGGCCCACTGTGCAGCCTGGAACGAGAAAAGTCGCCAATAGACTCACAATGCTGGACATTGCTCCTTAGTCTTCCCGTCTTCTTGAAACCCTTGACATCTTTGATCCGAGTTTGGCGCTGCATGCGCTCGCAGTATTGATAGCGGAGGCGTTCCAGTTCAATCCGGGCTTGTGTTGTTTCGTATAGGTAATGCTGTTCGTCACCTACAGCGAGGATATGGATAAGCATGTGCTCGAGGTCAGAAGACGATATCAAGCCTCTAGCATTGAAGTAACCAATGTTTATGACCATCTGGTCCATGATCTTGTGTCTACCGATGAGTGCAGGGACCAAAGCCTCGACATCAGCGAGGGTCATCGGATGGCGTGAGATGTGTTGCAGGAGAGGACGCTGGCCTTTGACAGGCAAGTTCCTCATCATTCGCTCCACAGGAGTTGGGAGTGGGGGTGGCGTGTATCCTTTGACGCTACCTCTCAGCCCCACTGCATCGCTTGCGCCTTGGTGTGACGTAACATCTAAGCTAGATGGGTCAGGAGCTGGGGAAGGGGCAATGGGAGACACTGGAAATACTAGATCAGTCCGACTTTGCCATCCGACACAGCCGCCCAGGCTCAGAGATGCCACTCGGGACCCAAGCGTTGACACGACCATGAGATTAGTTGAGCAGAGGTGAGAAGGGGTGATGAATCTAGAGCGCTGATCGTGAAAAACCTTTAGGGAGTGATGTGTTGCCTATGTCCCATACTGAGGAACTTCGCCCAGGCATATGTTGAACGGAGTGAACAGTGTTTCGCGCGGTGTGTTGGCATATCGCAGCATACCCAGCGGGAAGTGAATCTGTTCTGCGTGCCTAGTGAGTCTATCAGTACAATCATACAATAGGAGAAGTCACAGTGTTTTGTGCAATAGAGCCCTCTTCACGCTCCCGCAACGCACGATGTGAGACTGTAACGGAGTACGTACACAATGTCGCGTAGAAAGGGGATGTGTTAGAATTAGTGAACAAGATATGCAGGGTAGAGGCTGGAAAAGCATTATGCATACTATACGCGTACCGCTACATGTCTGAAAGCCCGCAAAGTCGATCCTATGCATGCTTGCCGGACGTCTTCAAAATCATACACGACTTACTGGAGTCGGATATACGAATCTCGCTTGGGGAAGGCTATGGCGTGAGATGCGATGGCAAAAGTCCGCTCACACAACTGCTGAAAGGCTCTCAAAACAAAACTGAGCAGTTGCGTACCAAAATTCTGTTGCTTCAGGACTGGTCCCCACATACGGCGGACGAGTACCATGACGTATTGGTCTGGCCTGCGGACAACATTGTGCTTTACTCGTTGCTACTCCGAGAACAAGCCTCATGCGTTCCAAGTCAGCTCGTAGCCGAAGACAGTTCGGCGAAGAAGTTCATCCTAAGTTCGGTCAGTGACGTCTACAGAGTAAGCGATCCGCAAGACTCACACCAGGATCTTCCTCGAACATGACCTTATCCATGACCTTCTCGAACGTCTTAGCGACGGTAAAGCCCGCTTCCTTGGCCAGATCAAAGAAAGCCAAGTCCTTCTCGTACAACCACGGGCGGTATGGTGTAAAGAAGACGTAGGCTCGGGAGTTCGGCGATTTCTTGAGGGTCAGCTGGACAGTCTTGATGAGTTTGGCATGTTCCGAGTGGTTGAATAGAAGGTCGGCCAAAATGAGGACATCAAAGCCCGAACCATCAGCCAGATATTTGGTCAAGTCACCGGTAGGCGCACCCCAGAGGTACCCCTGTACATACATTAGTGATGTTTGCCAAGGTTGAGCACAGTCACAAACCTCCGCCACAATCTTGGGTGGCTTAGGCAGTAGTTCGCAATGGTCGACATTGTATTGCAGGTTTTCGACCAACTCAGCATCGGGATAGTCCGTGACGACCGTTTGAGCGGCACCGTTGAGAGCACAGACAAGGCTGGGAAGTCCTGCTCCGGCGCCAAGCTCGAGAACCGTCCGGTTTTCTACCAGCTCTTTCGCATTCTCCTCCAGATATTCAGATATAGTCCGCCCTGCATTCCATAGAAAGTGCCCCTGAATACGTTAGTGAACGTGCCAGGCGCAGCTCAAGTACGTCAAAAGTCAGTGAGTGTATCGAAGCACTTCCAGAATTCTACGGGCCTTCTGGAAGTCCTTTAGAAGGGCGGAAGCCAATAGTGGTTGCATTGACAAGTTCCATGCAGTGCTTCGGCATGTCGGTGATCAAGTGCATGACTTACCCACAAAGGGTTGTGACCAACCAAACGAACAGTGAGCTCTTTGCCGGAAAGTAGCTGATGAGAGGCGAATGTGGCCTGCTTTTCTGGTTCATAGAAATCGGTAGGCTCTTGAAACAGGTCCAGGCCCTCCTCGTCGGCTTCTGAGGACATGATGAAAGGAAAGTTGTGACGAAACAATGGTCTTGGCGAAGATTGTATTTTGGGTGTTCGAAGAGCGGAGCCACAAGTGGCACGTGCCTAGATCACCAGCCACCACCTTTCCTATCTCAGCTGCGTTCCAGACAGACGCAATCTTCGAAACAGCGGATCGCCGTCATCAACGGGGTCTGAAAGCTGACCAGGCAGGATGTGCTGCAAACGGCCGCAGGGTCTGCCGCTCGCTCGTTGGCTGTGGCAGCGAGCGTTGCACCAGCCCGATGGCGTGGGACGTGATCCAGGTGGCTTCGAGCGACGCCTCATGTATACCACGGCCTGCCAATCGCGCCCACACCGATTGAATTATCGCGGTACTCATCTGAGCGCGCCAGGGTCCGCTCGGCGCCAGATTCCCCACGCTCCAGTGATATACCCGGCGGCCGCAGCATCGTTTCCACGGTTCTTCTGACCATGATCTGAGCAGGCACAGGTGCTGCTCTCCGTAGGTCACGTTTCCATAACTCCCGCCTTGCACGTACTTTATCTCAACACTTCCTCCGCTTACTTTACCGCTGAGACATCGCCTGGCATCTATTTCTCCATCATCGCACCTTCTGCTTGTGCCGCCCTGAAGCGACTAAGACCGCTTAGTAAGAAACTTGCTCAACGCTAAGGCACTAAGCCTAATCCAACCCTCCGCCAAACGTCGCATCCATTCAATTCACGACAAACCTTCGAGCGCCGACCAGCAGATCCCACGCCTTGACACCTGGAGACCCGAGTCATTCATCCGTCTAGTGGGGAGAGGTGACGGCGGTGTTCTTTCTGCGGTTTCGAACTGGTATCTCACGTCCCCACCAACGCTGGGCCCTGTCAAGGCAATATTTCTCCAGACCGCATCCTGGGAGGTAATCCAGTACAACCGGCGCCCTGATTCCGCCGGCTCTCAACTGAGGACCCTGCCGCTGTTGCCGTGTGCATTTCCGACGTGCGCCCGCCTGCATACGATCCACCATTCATCCGTTCCGCGCTCAAGATCGCTACTGCATCAACCAACGCCTGTGCTTATACAGTATTATCACCGACACTGTGGGAAGCCGGTGGCAGCGCTCAGGGTTATCAACGCTCCAGGCGCTCGGAGCTGGACCCTTCACAGATCACTTAGCCAAGCCGAGTACCGAGTCTACCTTCTCTTTCGGATAGTTACATCGCACCACATTGAAGCCTGTCGGCCACTTTCCCATCCAACGAGAGTCGTACGTTTAGCCTAGACTCTTGCCACTGCACTGTCTTCCGTGCCGTACGCCACCTCACCCCTCCGCAAGACTTTCACGTGCGCGGTGTACAGTAAGCTTGGACAAAAGCTGTTTCCATCAGCAGTCTTACTTCGTCCCCGATACACGGCGCATTTGGTGGTAACCTGCCGCGGATTGAGCAAGTTATTTCGACCTCATATCAGCCCCGCATCATGTGGGCCGAAGTCAATGGAGAGCGCAAGAAGGTCGCCTGGTAGGTACTCCCGCTTATTCGTCTTGCTCCTCGTTCTGCATTGTCCTACCCTCTTGTCTTCGCTATTTGTTACGCACATACAGCAGGTACCCGAGAAATTCTTTAGCGACTGCGGCTTGCATCGCATTGCGCAGGCTGCTCATTCGCTGTGCACTTTAACTGACTTTCAATAGCGGTCCGTGCATCCGCGGCCATCGCTCGTCGAAATGCGACCACAGAGATCGGGTGCTTGTCGAGGTTCGAAAGCCGGGTCGACCTTTGAGTAGCTGTCCACATCCGACTGGCTCATGCAGTTGCGAACGTGTCGTCATCAACTACACAATTCCCAAAGCGTCTGAATGTGCTTGCCCTTCGGAACGAGCTGCACCCACAGCTACCGTTGCAGGAAACAGTCGAATTCAAAAAGGTAGGCGCAAATCTGCTGCCGTCACCCCGTACAACCTCGAGAAGGCCATTCAGGCTGGCTTTGACGCCAAGACTGATGCCTCTTCCATCACGTATACGCCCTCAGAGACAAGTGGTAGCAACGCAGCGTCACTCCCTTCGAGTGCAAGCTCAACCCCACGTTTACTCCCTGCGCAAAACGAGCCCGTCTCAAGTTGC